CAGCGGGGACATAATGGGGTCACATTGTGGGACACAGCGGGGACAGCGGGGACATAACGGGGTCACATCGTGGGACACAGCAGGGACATAACGGGGTCACATCATAGGGACACAGCAGGGACATAACGGGGTCACATCGTGGGACACAGCGGGACATAATGGGGTCACATTGAGGGGCACAGCAGGGACAGCTGCTGGCCCATAACACGGGGTCACACCAGGGGACACAGTGGGGACATAACAGGGTCACACCAGGGGGACATATCAGGGACAGTGGGGACATAATGGGGTCACATCGTGGGGACACAGCAGGGGACAGTGTGGACATAATGGGGTCACACTAGGGGACACAGCAGGGACATAATGGGGTCACATTGCAGGGGGACAGTGGGGTCACACCAGCGACACAGCAGGGTCACATAAGGGGACACAGTGGGGTCACATCGGGGGGACACAGCAGGGGACAGTGGGGACATAATGGGGTCACATCGGGTGGGACAGCGGGGTCACATCGGGGGACACAGTGGGGTCACACCAGGGCAACAGAGTGGGATGACAGCGGGGGACAGCGGGGGACAGTAGGGTCACATCGGGGAGGACAGGGAGCACAGAGCCTCGGGGACACAGCGGGGTCACACCAGGGGACACGGGTGGGGACAGGGAGCATGGAGCCCCGGGGGAACAGTGGGGTCACACTGGGGGAGAGGGCAGCACAGAACCTTGGGGACACCTCGGGGGTCACATCAGGGGGACGGGGAGCCGAGCACTGGGGGCACACCGGGGGCACATCGAGGACACACCAGGGGCACACCGGGGACACACCGGGGGCACATCGAGGACACAGCAGGGACACACTGGGGTCACACCGGGGGCACATCGAGGACACAGCAGGGACACACTGGGGTCACACCGGGGACACATCGAGGACACAGCAGGGGCACACCGGGGACACACCGGGGGCACATCGAGGACGCAGCAGGGACACACCGGGGTCTCTCACCTGCAGCTCCGTGGCCTCCCATTCCAGCCACTGCGTGGTGAGGTCGGTGGGCTCCTCCCCCCGGCACAGGTAAAAATACCTGGGGGAGGGAAGGGGGGGTCTGGGGATAAGAGGGGGTCTGGGCAGGTCCAGAGGGGTTCGGGGGAGGCTCGGGGTGGCTCTGGGGCATGCACGGGGGGGTAGGGGGATCAGGGGGGGTCGGGGCAGGTTCTGGGGGAGATTTGGGGTGGTTTTGGGGCAGGGCTGGGGGGGTCCGGGGATAAGGGGGGTCGGGGCAGGTTCTGGGGGTTTGAGGGAGGTTTGGGGGGCTTTGGGGCATGCATGGGGGCATAGGGGGAAAAGGGGGTGTCAGAGCAGGTTCTGGAGGTTTGGGAGGCTTTGGGGCAGTGTTCGGGGAATCAGGGCATGTTCTAGGGTGGCTTTGGGGCAGGGCTCGGGGCAGGTTCTGGGGGTGTTTTGGGGCAGGGCTGGGGGCGCTGCCGGGGCTCCCCGGACTCACTGGCAGATGGCGTTGGGAGAGAACAGGACGGCGCCGCTGTCCAGCTCCAGCTGCAGCTCCAGCTCCGGCCCGGGGGCCTGAGGCCGCTCTGTGGGGAGGGACCGGGACAGGCTGGGGCTCGGGCTCAGGCTCAGGCCCACGCGGGGACAGGGCCGGGGTCAGGCCCGGGGGCGGTGGGCCCGGCCGTGCGGCCCGGGGGGGGGCATGTCCGTGCCGGTCTCACCTGCGGGGCCGCCCAGGTGCGGGCGCACGGGCGCGGGGGCGGCGGCGGCGGCCGCGAGCACCTTGAGGGCGGCGGGAGCGCCCGGCGGGACCCGGAGCCGCATGGCGGAGGGGGCGGGGCCAGCGCCGCACGGCGGGAGGAGCCGCCATGGCCGGGGGCGGGGCCAGGGCGGATAGCTCCGCCCCGGACACGCCCCTCTCGCACGCACACGAGTCTCGCGAGAGCGCGGGGGGGGGGGGTGGAGATGTTGCCATGGCAACAGGGACGCGACTGTGAGGCCGCCATGGCCGGGATGGGATAACGGGGATAGCGGGATAACGGAATAGCGAGACAGCGGGATAACGGGCTGGCAGGATAATGGGATAGTGAGATGGCAGGATAGCGGGATGGCAGGGTAATGGGAGGCAGGATAGAGGGATAACAGGATAAAGGGATAACGGGATAACGGGATGGCGGGGTAACGGGATGGCGGGATAGTGGGGTAACAGGCTGTCCTAGGGTGCCGTTATGATGCTTGTATCCCCATCCATGTGTTCTGTTAATGTTGGATATTGTGTTCTGTACCTTTAAGACCGGCTCTGAAGAGGGAAAGTTTTGTTTTGGTTTTCTTGTCAGCCTGGCGGGACACAGAGACTGCAGCTTTTGCTTTTTCTGCTTTTGCTTTTTGCTTTGCTCTCTCGCTCTTGCTTGCTTCGCTTCTGCTTGCTTTGCTCATTAGCTAGTTTAGCTAAACTGTCCAAATTTCTTCCTGGACTGTTTCTCCTTTCCTTTTTCTGACCATTTCGAACCTGCTCCAGACTGGGACCTGGGAAACACCGAGAGTTTGCACCTTCTGGCCTGCAGCAGCTGCCCCAGCGCTGGAGGGACTGAGAACAGAGTGACCACCCCCCAAGAGAGACTTTCTGAATTTGTCATCTTTTTCAGAATGGTGTCACCTGGTATTGTTCACTTTGTGTGTTGGGGGGTATTTTGCTTGTTAAATAAACAGGTTCTTTCCACTTCTCTCCAAGGAATCCTTCCCAACCCGGTTGTGGGGAGGGGCTGTGTGGGTTTGCTCTCTGCAGGAGCCCCTTTGGAAATTCTCCTCCAAATTTGCCCTAAACCAGGACACAGGCTAGCGGGATAATGGGATAGCAGGATAACGGGATAGAGGGATGATGGGAACGGGGATGGGATAATGGGATAACGGCATGTCGGGATAGCGGGGATGGGATAATGGGATAGGGAAATAATGGGGATGGGATCATGGGATAGCGGGATAACAGGATCACAGGATAGGGAAATAATGGGGATGGGATAACAGGATAGTGGGATAACAGGGTGGTGGAATAACGGGATAGTGGGATAACGGGAGTGAAAATGGGATGGGATCCATGGGGTGGAAACAGGGATGGGATAATGGGATAATGGGAACTGGAATCAGAACTGGGATGAGATAATGGGATGGGATAATGGGATGTGATAATGGGATGCAATGCAATGGGATCGATGGGACGGGATGGGAACTGGGATGGGAGCCATGTGATAATGGGATGGGAACTGGGATGGGATGAGATCCATGGGATGGGATAATGGGATGGGAATGATGGGATAGGATCCATGGGATGGGAATGATGGGATAATGGGATAATGGGAATGATGGGATAATGGGAACGATGGGATGGGAGTGATGGGATAATGGGATAATGGGAACAATGGGATGGGACAATGGGAATGATGGGAAGGATGGGATGTTGGATAATGGGAACAATGGGATGGGAGTGATGGGATAATGGGAACGATGGGAAACAATGGGAAGGATGGGATGGGATGATGGGATAATGGGAAGGATGGGAACAATGGGAAGGATGGGATGGGATGATGGGATAATGGGAAGGATGGGATGGGATAATGGGAAGGATGGGAACAATGGGAAGGATGGGAACAATGGGATGGGATGGGATTGGATAATGGGAACGATGGGATGGGATGCTGGGATAATGGGAAGGATGGGATGGGATAATGGGAACGATGGGATGGGAGTGATGGGATAATGGGAATGATGGGAACAATGGGATGGGATGGGATTGGATAATGGGAAGGATGGGATAATGGGATAATGGGAAGGATGGGATGGGAGTGATGGGATAATGGGAATGATGGGAACAATGGGAAGGATGGGATGGGATGCTGGGATAATGGGAAGGATGGGATGGGATAATGGGAAGGATGGGAACAATGGGAAGGATGGGATGGGATGCTGGGATAATGGGAAGGATGGGAACAATGGGAAGGATGGGATGGGAGTGATGGGAACAATGGGAAGGATGGGATGGGATGCTGGGATAATGGGAACAATGGGATGGGATAATGGGAATGATGGGAACAATGGGAAGGATGGGAACAATGGGATGGGATGGGATTGGATAATGGGAACGATGGGATGGGATGCTGGGATAATGGGAAGGATGGGATAATGGGATAATGGGAAGGATGGGATGGGAGTGATGGGAACAATGGGAACACTGGGATGGGATGTTGGGATAATGGGAATGATGGGAACAATGGGAAGGATGGGATGGGAGTGATGGGATAATGGGAATGATGGGAACAATGGGATGGGAGTGATGGGATAATGGGAACAATGGGAACAATGGGAACGATGGGATGGATGCTGGGATAATGGGAATGATGGGAACAATGGGAACAATGGGAACGATGGGATGGATGCTGGGATAATGGGAACAATGGGAACAATGGGAACAATGGGAACAATGGGATGGATGCTGGGATAATGGGAAGGATGGGATGGGATGTTGGGATAATGGGAACAATGGGAACAATGGGAACAATGGGAAGGATGGGATGGATGCTGGGATAATGGGAACAATGGGAACAATGGGAACAATGGGAACAATGGGAACGATGGGATGGATGCTGGGATAATGGGAAGGATGGGATGGGATGTTGGGATAATGGGAATGATGGGAACAATGGGAACAATGGGAAGGATGGGATGGATGCTGGGACGGGGCCCAGCTGGGTCCGGGCGGTCCCAGGTGACCCCAAACCCTTCAGGACCGAGTCCGGTGCCGGGGTCTGAAGGACCCCAAGGGCAAGGCTGGGGTTTTACCCAAATTCTGTGAATTTCCCCCAAACTTAGTGAACCTCACCCAAATCCCAGGGCATTGAACCCAAATTTCATTATTTAACCCAGATTTTGTTCTATTTAGCCCAGATTTTTTAGTAGTTTAACCCAAATGTTATGAATTTGCCCCTGTTTAAGCCACAACTCCAGGTCAAGTTTAACCACTTTTTATTTTTCCACTTAAATATTCTCTTTAAATACAGCATCGTCCCGGGAAACTGCGGAAAAGCAGGAAAAATGAATAATAGTGGGGAGAAGCTTTGGATTCACTTGGTGGCATTAAATGTGGAGTTAAAATGGAAATTAAAAACAAAAAAATTGAAATTAAATTGAATTAGTAAGAAAAGGAAAAAAAAAAACGAAGTTAAAAGGGAAATAAAAAAGAAAATAAATTGAATTAAAAAAGGAGTGCAAGTAAAAATTCAATAAAGAAATAAAAAGGCAATAAAAACAGAGAAAGGAAATAAAAGCAAAATTTTAAAAAATTAAAATTAAGTTTAAAAGAGAAGGAAAACGGAATTAAAAATTAAAGGAATAAAAAAAAAAGAAGTAGAAAAAGGGGAATAAAAAATTAAGAAAGAAATCAAAATGACATTAAAAGTTCTGAAGCTGCTTTGGGCACCCTGGGGGGGAGGTTTGGGGGTCCCCAGGGGTTTTGGGGGGCAGTAGCACCAGCAGGGGCCGGATCCATGGAATCCAGACTGGATCAAATCCAGCCAGGGGAAAAGGGAAACCCCACCTGATCCCACTGAGCCTGGGGGGACTGGGGAAAATGGGAGAAATCTGGGAATTCTGGAGTGAAATGGGATAAATTTGGGAATTCTGGGGTGAAATGGGAGAAATCTGGGACTTCTGGAGTGAAATGGGATAAATTTGGGAATTCTGGGCTGAAATGGGAGAAATCTGGGAATTCTGGGCTGAAATGGGAGAAATCTGGGAGTTCTGGGGTGAAATGGGAAAATCTGGGAATTCTGGTGGGGTTTGAGGTGAAATGGGAGAAATCTGGGAATTCTGGGGTGAAATGGGAGAAATCTGGGAATTCTGGTGGAGTTTAGGGTGCAATGGGATAAATCTGGGAATTCTGGTGGAGTTTTGGGGTGAAATGGGATAAATCAGGGAATTCTGGTGGAGTATAGGGTGAAATGGGAGAAATCTGGGAATTCTGGGGTGAAATGGGAAAAATTTGGGAATTCTGGGGTGAAATGGGAGAAATCTGGGAATTCTGGGGTGAAATGGGAGAAATCTGGGAATTCTGGTGGGGTTTGAGGTGAAATGGGATAAATCTCGGAATTCTGTGGTTTGGGGTGAAATGGGAAAAATCTGGGAATTCTGGAGTGAAATGGGATAAATCTGGGAATTCTGTGGTTTGGGGTGAAATGGGAAAAATCTGGGAATTCTGGAGTGAAATGGGAGAAATCTGAGAATTCTGGGCTGAAATGGGAGAAATCTGGGAATTCTGGAGTGAAATGGGATAAATTTGGGAATTCTGGAGTGAAATGGGAGAAATCTGGGAATTCTGGAGTGAAATGGGATAAATTTGGGAATTCTGGGGTGCAATGGGATAAATTTGGGAATTCTGGGGTGAAATGGGAGAAATCTGGGAATTCTGGCAGGGTATGGGGTGCAATGGGATAAATCTGAGAATCTGGGGTGCAATGGGATAAATCTGGGAATTCTGGTGGAGTTTTGGGGTGAAATGGGATAAATCTGGGAATTCTGGTGGAGTTTAGGGTGAAATGGGAGAAATCTGGGAATTCTGGGGTGCAATGGGATAAATTTGGGAATTCTGGGGTGAAATGGGAGAAATCTGGGAATTCTGGCAGGGTTTGGGGTGCAATGGGATAAATCTGGGAATTCCATGGTTTGGGAAGCACCAGCTCAGGGGATCCAGGGCAGGATTTGGGGTCCCTGCCCCTCTCAGGGGGCAATGCCGGGTTTGGGGCCGTTCCTGTGGGATTTGGGCACCTCCATGGGACAGTCCCAGCTCCCCGGGGGGTTTGGGGGTCACTGAGGCCTCTCCCCACCCCAAATCCCCCCTGAAGCCACTCTGGACTCCCCCAAACCCCTGGGAACCCCCTGACCCCCTCCAGCACCCCCTTGGGATGTTCTGAAGCCCCTTTGAGCCCTCCTGAACAGCAAACAGAACCCTTGGGATCCCCTTAAACCCCTCAGGCTCTGCCAGACACCCTGAAATCTCTTCTGAAGCCCCTAAACAACCTCTGAACACCATTAAATCCCTGCCTGAAGCCCTGCAAAGCACCCTCTGAACCCCCAAATGCCCCTCTGAACCCCCTTTTGAACCACCCTGAACCACCTCAAACCCCTCTGAACCCATCCAAGGCCCCTGAATTCCCTCCTAAACCCCCTTAAATCTTCTGAACTCACTTAAATCCCCCTTTTGAGCCCCTAAAAATGCCCTTTAAACCAACTCAAACCCCACCTGAGCCCCTTTAGACTCCTCTGAACCCCCCTAAAGCCCCTTCTTACCCCCCCCTTCAAAAGCCTAAAAATCCCCTTGACACCCTTAAACCCCACTGAACCCCCTTGAATCCCCTCAAACTCATTTTAATGCCCCTTCAACCCCTCTGAACCCCCTTGATCTCCTAAAAACCTCTTTAACTCTGTTTATAAACCCCTTCAGACCCAACTGAACCCCCTTTAGTACCCCTCAAACCTCTCTGAACCCCTAAAAACCCCTCTGAACCCCTTTCAACCCCAAAAAACCCTCAATGCCTCCATAATCCCTAAAAACCCCATTTTGAACCTCCCTGAACCCCCTGTACACCCCTAAAAACCCCTCTGAGCCCCCTTAACCCCTTTTTAAACTGTCCTGAACCCCTAAAACCCACAAAACCCCCTCTGAACCCTTTTCAAGCCCAAAAAAACCCTCAATGACCTCAAAACCCCTAAAAACCCCACTCTGAGCCCCCTTAAACCCCCCTATGGGGCACAGGTGGCCCCCAGGAGCAGCAGGGTGAGGGTCAGAGCCCAGTGTGGGAAAACTGCTGGAAAAGCCAATGGTGAAATCAAAAATTCAGGAAAACAACAGGGGGGGGCAGCAGCTGGATTGGGGGGTTTGGGTCCCTGTGACCCCGGGGTCTGGGAGCATCCAGGTGGGCAGGTCCTGAAGGCACAGGTCCCACAAGGTGAGCAAGTCCTGGTGAGCAGGTCCTGGGAGTGCTCAGGTGAGCAGATCCAGGTGAGCAGATCCCACAACATGAGCAGGTCCAGGGACACAGGTCCCACAAGGTGAGCAGGTCCCACAAGATGAGCAGGTCCCACAAGGTGAGCAGGTCCAGGTGAGCAGGTCCCACAAGGTGAGCAGGTCCAGGTGAGCAGGTCCCACAAGGTGAGCAGGTCCCACAAGGTGAGCAGGTCCTGGGAGTGCTCAGGTGAGCAGATCCAGGTGAGCAGATCCCACAACATGAGCAGGTCCAGGGGCACAGGTCCCACAAAGTGAGCAAGTCCTGGTGAGCAGGTCCTGGGAGTGCTCAGGTGAGGAGATCCCACAGTCTGTAGGGTCCAGGTGAGCAGGTCCCACAAGGTGAGCAGATCCTGGGAATGCTCAGTTGAGCAGGTCCAGGTGAGCAGATCCAGAGACACAGATCCCACAAGGTGAGCAGATCCTGGGAGTGCTCAGGTGAGCAGATCCAGGTGAGCAGATCCCACAACATGAGCAGGTCCAGGGGCACAGATCCCACAAGGTGAGCAGGTCCAGGTGAGCAGATCCAGGTGAGCAGATCCTGGGAATGCTCAGGTGAGCAGATCCAAGAACATGAGCAGGTCCAGATGAGCAGATCCTGGGAGTGCTCAGGTGAGCAGGTCCAGGTGAGCAGATCCAAGAACATGAGCAGGTCCAGGTGAGCAGGTCCCACAAGGTGAGCAGGTCCTGGGAGTGCTCAGGTGAGCAGATCCAGGGGCACAGATCCCACAGTCTGCAGGGTCCAGGTGAGCAGGTCCCACAAGGTGAGCAGATCCTGGGAATGCTCAGGTGAGCAGGTCCATGTGAGCAGATCCAGGGCGTGCTCAGGTGAGCAGATCCCACAGTCTGTAGGGTCCAGGTGAACAGATCCCACAAGCTGAGCAGGTCCAGGGGCACAGATCTCACAAGGTGAGCAGATCCAGGTGAGCAGGTCCTGGGAGTGCTCAGGTGAGCAGATCCAGGGGCACAGATCCCACAGTCTGCAGGGTCCAGGTGAGCAGGTCCAGGGACAAAGATCCCACAAGGTGAGCAGGTCCAGGTGAGCAGGTCCAACAACATGAGCAGGTCCGGAGACACAGGTCCCACAAGGTGAGCAGATCCAGGGCGTGCTCAGGTGAGCAGATCCCACAATCTGCAGGGTCCAGGTGAGCAGATCCCACAGTCTGTGGGGTCCAGGTGAGCAGAATGCAGGTTTTGGGGCTCAGTCCCAAGCAGGTGAGCAGATCCCACAGTCTGCAGGGTCCAGGTGAGCGGGTCCAGGGACACAGATCCCACAAGGTGAGCAGGTCCAGGGCGTGCTCAGGTGAGCAGATCCCACAAGGTGAGCAGGTCCAGGTGAGCAGATCCCAGTCTGCAGGGTCCAGGTGAGCAGACCCCACCGTCTGCAGGGTCCAGGTGAGCAGAATGCAGGTTTTGGGGCTCAGTCCCAAGCAGGTGAGCAGATCCTGGGTGTGCTCAGGTGAGCAGATCCCACAGTCTGCAGGGTCCAGGTGAGCAGAATGCAGGTCTTGGGGCACAGTCCCAAGCAGGTGAGCAGATCCTGGGTGTGCTCAGGTGAGCAGATCCCACAGTCTGCAGGGTCCAGGTGAGCAGAATGCAGGCTTTGGGGCTCAGTCCCAAGCAGGTGAGCAGATCCCAGAATCCAGGTGAGCAAAGCCCCGGGGCTCAGAGCCAGCAGAGCAGGGCAGCCCCAGCTCATATCCCAAATTTCCCCCTCTCCTGCCTCTTCCCAGGCTGGAATTGCTCCTGGGCCAGGCTGATGCCATAAAAGAGGGAAAAGCCCCAGAAATGAGAAGTTTCACCCCAAGGCAGAGCCCAGGAAGGTCTGGAGCACAGGTGGGTGTCCCATGAATCCCATCCAAGGAAGGGCTGGAAGGACCAGGTGAGTCTGGAGAATCCACACCTGGAGAGGCTGAATCCATGCCAGTCTGACCAGTTTGGTGCCAGTGGAGATGCCCGGAGGCAGAGGGAGCACAGGTGAGCAGGAAGCACCTGAGGAGCAGCACAGGGAATTCAGGTGCACCAGGAAGAGCAGGAGCTGCACACCTGTGCACACCTGTGCACACCTGTGCACACCTGCAGGGCTCTGCTGGCGCCGTGGGATGGATCCTGAGGGCTGCAGAGGCAGGAACAGTTCTTTGGGAAACACAGCCAGGTGAGGCCACCTGCATGGATGGATGGATGGATGGACAAGGAGGCAGCTGAGAGCTCAGGGATCAGACATTGCATCCATGGGACACCTGGGCACACCTGCAGGGCTCTGCTCCTGCTGGAATTGCTCACCTGGATGCCCAGAGCTCACCTGCAGTGGGCCAGGGACGCTCCTGCACCCTCACATCCCAAATCCTGCTTCTTGCAGGGGCAGCTCCATCCCCTCAGCAGCTGCAATTCACGGCAATGAATGTTCCAGAAGGTTCCCACAGGTACAGGTGATCAGTTCCAGGCGATGGAGGAGCCAACGAGGAGGTGAAGTTGGTTCAACCCCCCCCCCAGAATTTTCCAGGTGAGTTTGGGGACTCCAGTCTTGGGTCTCTTGTGCCAGTTCCAGGTGTTTCCCAATCCATCCCAGCTGCAGGTGAGTGGAAGCATCACCTTGGATGAGGTGGCCCAGGTGAGACATTCATTAAACAAACAGGAATTAGGGAAAAAACGGATTTTCCCTTAAAACCAAGGAAAGTGGAGGCAGCCACAGGGACAGAGCTGCTGTGGGATCCAGGAGGCTCCAGCTCAGGTGAGTCCTGGCTCAGGTGATCTCTGCCAGGTGGGATGGAGAACAGGAAGGATCCCAGAGGCTGCAGCTCAGGTGAGTCCTGGCACAGGTGACCCCCACCAGGTGAGAAAAGGACTCCTGGCCCTGGGCCAGGTCAATCCTCTGTCCAGAGCAGCCCCCACCAATTAAATAATCAATCCATGGAATAAATAATGGAGCCAGAGGGCCTGAGGCCACTCATACGGGCAGGTGGGGGTGCTCCAGGTGCTCTGGGAGATTTTGGGGCGCCCCTTCCTTGCTCGCAGCCGCAGGGACAGGCGGCACCCCCAGCTCCTTCCCGGGGGCGCTGGAGGCTGGAGCTGGGTGCTCCCCGTGCCCACTGGCACCCTTGGCAGCCGCCCGTGGCTCCAGCTGGCACAAGAGCCCAGGGGCATCGGGCAGGTAGGGCTGGGAGGAGCCGCCCTGGGCCGGCTGCCCCTGGGGGTAGCAGAGCACAGGAGATTCCAGCGGGAACTGGGCCGGGATCAGGAGGGTGGAGCTGAGCCCGGGGCACGGCGCAGGTTTCACCTGCCAGGCGTCATCCAGGTGCTCCCCCAGCACGCAGAGCCCGCCCCCCTCTCCCCCGGAGCCGCTTCCAGAGTCTTCCTCAGCCTTCAGCCTCTCCAGCTCCTCGGCCGTCTGCAGGTGCAGCACCGCCCGCTCGTTCTCCGCCAGGTACTCCTGGAAGTCCTGAGTCTCGGGGGGCTGGGGGGGCGGCCAGCTGGGGCCTGCAGCTCCTTCCTCCTCCTCCTCCTCCTCCTCCTGGCGCCGGTTCTCCAGCTCCAGCTTCATCAGGGTGTGCAGGAAGTGCGTGCGGACGCGCAGGGGATTGAACTCGATGCGCCCGGCCACGTTCCCACAGCCGTCCCGGGAGCAGCCGCACGGGAACGAAGTGCGATCCACCTGGGGACAGGCACAGGGTGAGAGCCTGCAGGGCCCTCCCAGCCTGAACCCCACACCAATGATAGAGCTGGGACCCTGCAGGAGCCCTCCAGGATCCAAATCCCACCCCAGTAACAGGGGTGAGACCCTGCAGGGCCCTCCAGGATCCAAATCCCACCCCAAACATGGGAGCAGCCGCACGGGAACGAGGTGCGATCCACCTGGGGACAGGGACAGGGTGAGACCACCCTGCAGAGCCCTCCCATCCTGAACCCCACACCAATGATAGAGCTGGGACCCTGCAGGAGCCCTCCAGGATCCAAATCCCACCCCAAACATGATGGTGGGGCTTTGTCCCAGGAGCAGCCGCATGGGAACGAGGTGCGATCCACCTGGGGACAGGGACAGGGTGAGACCACCCTGCAAGGCCCTCCCAGCCTGAACCCCACACCAATGACAGGGGTGAGAGCCTGCAGAGCCCTCCAAGGTACAAATCCCACACCAGTGACAGGCTGGGACCCTGCAGGAACCCTCCAGGGTCCAAATCCCACCCCAAGGACAGGGTGAGACCCTGCAGGGTCTCCCAGCCTGAACCCCACACCAAGGACAGGGCTGGGACCCTGCAGGGCCCTCCAGGATCCAAATCCCAACCCAATGACAGGGGTGAGACCCTGCAGAGCCCTCCAGGGGCCAAATCCCATCCCAATTAACAGGGGTGAGACCCTGCAGGGCCCTCCCAGCCTGAACCCCACACCAATGACAGAGCTGGGACCCTGCAGGGCCCTCCAGGGGCCAAATCCCACCCCAAACATGATGGTGGGGATTTATCCCAGGAGCAGCTGCACGGGAACAAGGTGCGATCCACCTGGGGACAGGCACAGGGTGAGAGCCTGCAGGGCCCTCCCAGCCTGAACCCCACACCAATGACAGGGGTGAGACCCTGCAGGGCCCTCCAGGATCCAAATCCCACCCCAACCATGATGGTGGGGCTTTGTCCCAGGAGCAGCCGCATGGGAACGAGGTGCGATCCACCTGGGGACAGGGACAGGGTGAGACCACCCTGCAGGGCCCTCCCATCCTGAACCCCACACCAGTGACAGAGCTGGGACCCTGCAGGGATCCAAATCCCACCCCAGTGACAGGCTGGGACCCTGCAGGAACCCTCCTGGGTCCAAATCCCATCCCAGTAACAGGGGTGAGACCCTGCAGGGCCCTCTCAGCCTGAACCCCACACCAATGACAGGGCTGGGACCCTGCAGGAGCCCTCCAGGGGCCAAATCCCACCCCAAACATGGTGGTGGGACGTTATCCCAGCCAGGTGTCTCCATAGGGAGGATGTGGACAGGTGCAGGATCCCACAGGATGCCATCTGGATTCCACCCTTCATCCCCCCAGAGCCTGAATCCCAGCCCAGAGAGATCCCAGATCCCACCTGGACAGCAGGAATTTGGGGTGGGGAGGAGTTTATGCATTCCAGGTATGGCCAGAACACACCTGGGGCTGCTGCTGGACCACAACCCCCAGGTGCCTCAGCTGGCACCCTCTGCTCCCCAAGGAGCAAGGCCAGGGCACAGTGGGTGGGGGTGCCTGGAGGCCCACCTGTGGCCCCTTATCCCAGCTCACCTGGCACTGCATGCCCTCACCTGGCACTGCATGCCCTCACCTGGCACACCTGGCACTGCATGCCCTCACCTGGCACACCTGGCACACCTGGCTCTCCCCACTCCTCAAGGAGCACAGAACAGAAGAACACGAGGAGCAGCCTGGCCCTCATCCCACCCCAAACCCCTGCCCTGCAGCTCTCCTGGCACACCTGGCACACCTGCCTCTCCTGGCACACCTGCCTCTCCTGGCACACCCGCCTCTCCTGGCACACCCGCCTCTCCCCACTCTTCAGGAGGCACACAAAGAGCAGCCTGGCCCCATCCCAACCCAAACTCCTCCCCGGCACTGGATGCCCTCACCTGGCACTGGATGCCCACCTGCCCTCCCCTGTGTCCCTCACCTGGCACTGGATGCCCTCACCTGGCCCTCTGTGTCCCTCACCTGGCACTGGATGCCCACCTGCCCTCCCCTGTCTCTCACCTGGCACTGGATGCCCTCACCTGGCCCCCCCCCATGTCTCACCTGGCACTGGATGCCCTCACCTGGCCCTCTGTGTGTCTCACCTGGCACTGGATGCCCGCCTGGCACAAAATGACTGGCCTGGCTCCTCCCCATGTCTCACCTGGCACTGGATGCCCACCTGGCACAAAATGTCTGGCCTGGCTCCTCCCCATGTCTCACCTGGCACTGGATGCCCTCACCTGGCCCCCCCCATGTCCCTCACCTGGCACTGGATGCCCTCACCTGGCCCTCTCTGTCTCACCTGGCACTGGATGCCCGCCTGCCCTCCCCATGTCCCTCACCTGGCACTGGATGCCCGCCTGGCACACAATGACCACCCTGGCCCCCCCATGTCTCACCAGGCACTGGATGCCCGCCTGCCCTCCCCTGTCCCTCACCTGGCACTGGATGCCCACCTGCCCCCCTCCATGTCCCTCACCTGGCACTCGATGCTGGCCTGCCCTCCCCATGTCTCACCTGGCACTGGATGCCTGCCTGCCCCCCCATGTCTCACCTGGCACTGGATGCCCGCCTGGCCCCTCTGTGTGTCTCACCTGGTACACAATGACCACCCTGGCCCTCTGTGTGTCACCTGGCACTGGATGCCTGCCTGCCCTCCCCTGTCTCTCACCTGGCACTGGATGCCGGCCTGGCACACAGTGACCACCCTGGCCCCCCGTGTCTCTCACCTGGAACTGGATGCCCGCCTGCCCCCCTCCATGTCCCTCACCTGGCACTGGATGCCCTCACCTGGCCCCCCCTGTCCCTCACCTGGCACTGGATGCCCACCTGGCCCCTCTGTGTCTCTCACCTGGCACTGGATGCCCGCCTACGCCCCCATGTCTCACCTGGCACTGGATGCCAGCCTGCCCTCCCCTGTCCCTCACCTGGTACTGGATGCCCTCACCTGCCCCCCCCATGTCTCACCTGGCACTGGATGCCGGCCTGGCACACAATGACCACCCTGGCCCCTCCGTGTCCCTCACCTGGCACTGGATGCCCTCACCTGGCACTGGATGCCCGCCTGCCCTCCCCTGTGTCCCTCACCTGGCACTGGATGCCCTCACCTGGCCCTCTGTGTCCCTCACCTGGCACTGGATGCCCTCACCTGGCACTGGATGCCCTCACCTGCCCCCCCATGTCCCTCACCTGGCACTGGATGCCCTCACCTGGCACTGGATGCCCTCACCTGCCCCCCTCCATGTCTCTCACCTGGCACTGGATGCCGGCCTGGCCCCCCTGTGTCTCTCACCTGGCACACAATGACCAGCCTGGCCCCCCCATGTCCCTCACCTGGCACTGGATGCCGGCCTGGCACCCCTGTGTCTCTCACCTGGCACACAATGACCACCCTGGCCCCCCCATGTCCCTCACCTGGCACTGGATGCCCACCTGCCCCCCTCCATGTCCCTCACCTGGCACTGGATGCCGGCCTGGCCCCCCTGTGTCTCTCACCTGGCACACAATGACCAGCCTGGCCCCCCTGTGTCTCTCACCTGGCACACAATAACCAGCCTGGCCCCCCCCTGTCCCTCACCTGGCACTGGATGCCGGCCTGGCACACAATGACCACCCTGGCCCCCCCATGTCTCACCTGGCACTGGATGCCGGCCTGGCCCCCCTGTGTCTCTCACCTGGCACACAATGACCACGCTGGCCCCTCCCCATGTCTCACCTGGCACACAATGACCAGCCTGGCCCCCCCCATGTCTCACCTGGCACTGGATGCCCGCCTGGCACACAATGACCAGCCTGGCCCCCCCATGTCTCACCTGGCACTGGATGCCGGCCTGGCTGCAGGCGCAGGTTCGGGGCTCGCAGGTCAGCCGGCAGTGGCAGCCGCACTGCTCGCGGGACAGGCGCAGGGCGCGGAGCTCCTGCCGCTCCTCGGCGTCGATCCTGCGCACGCCCGAGGCGCGCAGCAGCGCCCGGCGCCGCTTGGTGGGCAGCGGCTGCAGGTAGAAATAATCGCCCACCTCCACCTGGCCCACGTCCAGGTCATCGTCCGACACGTCGGCCAGGGTCAGCCCCGCCGCCTCGGCCGAGGGCACTGTCCCGTTCTGGGTCAGCTGGGAAGGAGGGACAGCAGAAGGTTGGGAAAGCTGAACGGGTTCGGGGTGGGTCAGCACAAAATCGGCACCAAAATTACATTAATTCACCCGTTTTCCTTCTATTTCCCTCCAAAATTTAAAATGACCTCGTAATTCATTTCTTTCCAAAGTCACCCCATCAAAACTCCCCCAAAATCCCTCCCCAGCTCCTCTAAAATTTCCCAAAATTCAAAGGAAATTTATGTTGGGCAAAGTAGTAGATGGTGACCTGGACCTAGGATGAATGGGGCTGCTGGCACAGCATGGGTCAGAACAAGATCACCCCCAAAATTATACAAAATTCTCCCATTTTACCTCCATTTCCCTCCAAAATTTAAAATTACCACATAATCCATTTCCTTCCAAACTCATCCCATCAAAACTCCCCCAAAATCCCTCCCCAGCTCCTCTAAAAGGAAAGGAAATCAATGCTGGGCAAAGCGCCACAGGATGGACGGGGCTGCAGGCACAGAGCGGGTCAGCACAAAACCACCCCCAAAATTATACAAAATTCACCCATTTTCCCTCTATTCCCCTCCAAAATTTAAAATTGCCCATTATTACCCCATAATTCCCCCCTGCAAATGCTCAGAATTTCCTTCCAAATTCACCCCATCAAAACTACCCCAAAATTCCTCCCCAGCTCCTCTAAAATTTCCCAAAATTCAAAGGAAATTCATGTTGGGCAAAGTTTTGGAGGGTGATCTGGACCTAGCATGGATGGGGCTGCAGGCACAGAGTGGGTCAGTACAAAACCACCCCCAAAATTACATTAATTCTCCCATTTCCCCTCTATTTCCCTCCAAAATTTAAAATTACCCCCCCTGCAAATGCTCAGGATTTCCTTCCAAACGCACCCCATCAAAACTCCCCCAAAATCCCTCCCCAGCTCCTAAAAAATTTCCCAAAATTCAAAGGAAATTTATGTTGGGCAAAGTAGCAGATGGTGACCTGGACCTAGGATGGACGGGGCTGCACAGCATGGGTCAGAACAAGATCACCCCCAATATTATTCAAAATTCACCCATTTTCTTTTTATTTCCCTCCAAAATTTAAAATGACCTCGTAATTCCTTTCCTTACAAAGTCACCCCATCAAAACTCCCCCCAAATCCCTCCCCAGCTCCTAAAAAATTTCCCAAAATTCAAAGGAAATTAATGTTGGACAAAGTAGTAGATGGTGACCTCGACGTAGGATGAATGGGGCTGCAGGCACAGCATGGGTCAGAACAAGATCACCCCCAATATTATTCAAAATTCACCCATTTTCTTTTTATTTCCCTCCAAAATTTAAAATGACCTCGTAATTCCTTTCCTTCCAAACTCACCTCATCAAAACTCCCCCAAAATCCCTCCCCAGCTCCCCTAAAAGGAAAGGAAATCAATGCTGGGCAAAGCACCACAGGATGGACAGGGCTGCAGGCACAACACAGATCAGGGCTGGCCAGCACAAAACCACCCCCAAAATTACATTAAATTCACCCATTTCCACTCTATTTCCCTCCAAAATTTAAAATTACCCCATAATTCCCCCCTGCAAATGCTCAGAATTTCCTTCCAAACTCAGCCTATCAAAACTCTCTCAAAATCCCTCCCCAGCTCCTCTGAAATGTCCCAAAATTCCAAGGAAATCCATGCTGGGCAAAGCCCTGCAGGATGGACAGGGCTGTGGGCACAGTGGATTAGGGCTGGCCAGCACAAAATCACCCCCAAAATGACACTAAATTCACCCATGTTCCCTCTATTTCCCTCCAAAATTTAAAATTACCCTGCACTTCCTCCCCTGCAAATGCTCAGAATTCCCCTCCAAATTCAGCCTGTCAAAACTCCCCAAAATAGGAAATTCAGGGAGTTAGAAAGGAAATCAGGCTTGGTAAACCCTGGGAAATGTTAAAGGTTGGCCCTGGGGAATGTCAGGCCTTGTGTTTGCTGGATCAGGTGAAACTGCACTTGTGTAATCACTATAGGATAAATAATGTAAATATTATATATAATTATTGTTTAATTGTAAGGAAAATAATGAGAAACTATATTAGAGGTTTGAGGGGGATCACGAGGATCTGTGCTTGGATGAAATCAATGTATACAACAGAACAATGCAAGTTTAATAATTAATATTTAAATTATATCATGAGAGAATATAAAACATGTTCAGCTGGAAACCGTGGTGGGTCAGATTTGGGGCTGTAGCCCTGACACCCAGAGCTCTTCAAGAAAAGCACTGCAGGTGCTGTATAATCATAATCAATAATCAATAATAATCATAATTAATCAATCTATAATCATTCTGTGGTTTTGTGTTCCTGGATGCTGGCAGAGGGACACGTGTGGGGATGTGGAACCACGGGGGTCACCTGGCCAGGTGTCCTTCCCTCCACCCAAACTTGTCCCTGTCCCTCCCAAGGTTTGTACAACCAAAGGACAATGATTGTTCTGTTGGGCTTTTTCAGAAAGGCACTGCCAGATTCACCCAAAAACAAAGGAAAAGCTTTGGTTTTCACCCCAACCCCAGGATTTCGGGATTGATTTGGGATGGAATTCACCCTAAACCAAAGGAAAAGTGATTTTTCTGTTGGGTTGGTTCTTTTGGAAAGGTACTGCCAGACTCACCCCAGAACATCCTGACCACCCCCAGGTGCCACCCAGGTGTTTCCCACACTGAGTTTTCCCTGCACCTCCCTCCTAAGATCCCCCCAAAGTTTTTCCCACCTGGATTCCCCTCACTTTGCCCCTCTTCCAACCTCACCCGGGCATTTTTCACTTCCCTCCCCCAAATCCCTCCCCAAGGGCTTCCCCACCTGCCCACCACCAAACCCATCCAGGTATTTCCCACCTGGATTCCCCCTCCCAGCCCCAATACCTGGTTCCCCCAAATCCACCCCCAGGTATTCCCCACCCACATTCTCTCTGTGACCCCAAATCCCCTCCAGGTATTATCCCCCACTGCTGCCCCTCCAGCTGTTTCCCACCTGCATTCTGCCCTCCCTCCCCAAGTATTTCCTACCTGGATTCCTCCCTTCCTCCCTCCCCAGGTATTCTCCATCCAGACACCCTCTGTCACCCCAAATCCCCTCCAGGTATTATCCCCCACTGCTGCCCCTCCCACCTGGATTCCACCCTCCATCTCCACCTATTTCCCACCTGGATTCTTCCCTTCCTCCCCAGGTATTTCCCACCTGGATTCTGCCCTCTCTCTCCAGTTATTCCCCACCTGGATTCCCCCTTGCTCTGTCCCCCCACCCCAGCTATTTCCCACCTGGATTCTTCCCTCCATCTCCACCTATTTCCCACCTGGATTCCCCCTTGCTCCCTCCCTCCCCAGGCATTTCCCACCAGGATTCCAGTCTCCATCCCAGCTATTTCCCACCTGGATTCTTCCCTCCCTCTCCAGTTATTTCCCACCTGCATTCCACCCTCCCTTCCCAGGCACTTCCCATCAGGATTCCAGTCTCCATCCCAGCTATTCCCCACCTGGACTCCCCCTCTCTTTGTCTCTCCCTTCCTCCCCACCTATTTCCCATCTGGATTCTTCTCTCCCTCCCCAGGTATTTCCCACCTGGATTCTACCCTCTCTCTCCAGTTTTTCCCCACCTGGATTCTTCCCTCCCTCCCCAGCTATTTCCCACCTGGATTCACCCTCTCTTCCTCTCTCCCTTCCTCCCCATCTATTTCCCACCTAGATTCTTCCCTCCCTCCCCAAGTATTTCCAACCTGGATTCCCCCTTGCTCCCTCCCTCCCCACCTATTCCCCCCCTGGATTCTGCCCTCCCTCCCCAGGTATTCCCCACCTGGATCCCCCATCCCTCCCCACCTATTCCCCACCTGGATTCCACCCTCCATCTCCACCTATTTCCCACCCGGATTCCCCCTTGCTCCCTCCCTCCCCAGGCATTTCCCATCAGGATTCCCATCTCCCTCACAGCTATTTCCCACTTGGATTCCCCCTCCCTCCCCAAGTATTCCCCACCTGGATTCTTCTCTCCCTCCCCAGGCACTTCCCATCACGATTCCAGTCTCCCTCCCAGCTATTCCCCACCTGGACTCCCCCTCTCTTCCTCCCTCCCTTCCTCCCCACCTATTCCCCACCTGGATTCCCCCTTGCTCCCTCCCTCCTCAGGCATTTCCCATCAGGATTCCAGTCTCCATCCCAGCTATTTCCCACCTGGATTCCCCCATCCCTCCCCACCTATTCCCCACCTGGATTCTTCCCTCCCTCCCCACCTATTCCCCACTTGGATTCCCCCATCCCTCCCCAGCTATTCCCCACCTGGATTCTTCTCTCCCTCCCCAGGCACTTCCCATCACGATTCCAGTCTCCCTCCCAGCTATTCCCCACCTGGACTCCCCCTCTCTTCCTCCCTCCCTTCCTCCCCACCTATTTCCCACCTGGATCCCCCTCCCTCCCCAGGTATTTCCCACCTGGATTCTGCCCTCCCTCCCCACCTATTTCCCACCTGGATTCCCCCTTGCTTCCTCTCCCTCCTCAGGCATTTCCCATCAGGATTCCAGTCTCCATCCCACCTATTCCCCACCTGGATCCCCATCCCTCCCCACCTATTCCCCACCTGGATCCCCCCTCCCTCCCCACCTATTCCCCACCTGGATTCTTCCCTTCCTCCCCACCTATTCCCCACCTGGATCCCCATCCCTCCCCACCTATTTCCCACCTGGATTCCCCCTTGCTCCCTCCCTCCTCAGGCATTTCCCCTCAGGATTCCCGTCTCCCTCACAGCTATTTCCTATCTGGATTCCCCCATCCCTCCCCACCTATTCCCCACCTGGATTCTTCCCTCCCTCCCCACCTATTCCCCACTTGGATTCCTCCATCCCTCCCCAGCTATTCCCCACCTGGATTCTTCTCTCCCTCCCCAGGCACTTCCCATCACAATTCCAGTCTCCCCCCCAGCTATTCCCCACCTGGACTCCCCCTCTCTTCCTCTCTCCCTTCCTCCCCACCTATTCCCCACCTGGATTCTGCCCTCCCTCCCCACCTATTCCCCACCTGGATTCTGCCCTCCCTCCCCACCTATTTCCCACCGGGATTCCACCCTCCATCTCCACCTGTTCCCCACCTGGATTCCCCCTTGCTCCCTCCCTCCTCAGGCATTTCCCACCTGGATTCTTCCCTCCCTCCCCACCTATTCCCCACCTGGATCCCCACCTATTCCCCACCTGGCTCCCCCCTCCCTCCCCACCTATTCCCCACCTGGATTCCCCCTCCCTCCCCACCTATTCCCCACCTGGCTCCCCCATCCCTCCCCACCTATTCCCCACCTGGCTCCCCCATCCCTCCCCACCTATTCCCCACCTGGCTCCCCCCTCCCTCCCCACCTATTCCCCACCTGGCTCCCCCCTCCCTCCCCACCTATTCCCCACCTGGATTCCCCCTCCCTCCCCACCTATTCCCCACCTGGCTCCCCCATCCCTCCCCACCTATTCCCCACCTGGCTCCCCCATCCCTCCCCACCTATTCCCCACCTGGATTCCCCCTCCCTCCCCACCTATTCCCCACCTGGCTCCCCCCTCCCTCCCCACCTATTCCCCACCTGGCTCCCCCCTCCCTCCCCACCTATTCCCCCACCTGGATCCCCCATCCCTCCCCACCTATTCCCCACCTGGATCCCCACCTATTCCCCACCTGGCTCCCCCCTCCCTCCCCACCTATTCCCCACCTGGATTCCCCCTCCCTCCCCACCTATTCCCCACCTGGCTCCCCCATCCCTCCCCACCTATTCCCCACCTGGATCCCCCATCCCTCCCCACCTATTCCCCACCTGGATCCCCATCCCTCCCCACCTCTTCCCCACCTGGCTCCCCCCTCCCTCCCTCCCTCCCAGCTCCCCCTCACCTCTCTCCTCCTGGCGCGCAGTTTCTCGCGGCGCAGGTGCTGCTGCAGGTGCTGCCGGTGGCTCACCTGGCGCAGGTGGGCGAACTGGCTGAGGCTGTACCTGCGGGCCCGGTGGTGCCGCGGGGCCATGCCCAGGGAGCTGCCCCCGGCGCTGGGCACGCAGGTGAAGCCCTGGCGCCGGGCAAAGTAATAAACGGTGACCTGGGCAAAGCGCACGCGCTTCCCGCCCCGGCGCGCCCGGGAGCGCCGCAGGATGGACGGGGCTGCGGGCACAGAGAGGGGCACAATGAAATCTGCACCAAAATTACATTAATTCACCCATTTTCCATCTATTTCCCTCCAACATTTAAAATTACCCCGTAATTCCACAATGCAAATGGTCAGAAATCCGCTCCCTCCAAACCCATCCTGTAAAAACTCCCCCAAAGTCCCTCCCCAGCTCCTCTAAAATTTCCCAAAATTCCAAGGAAATTCACACTGGGCAAAGCCCTGCAGGATGGATGGGCACAGAGCGGGTCACAATGAAATCAGCACCAAAATTACATTAATTCGCCCATTTTCCATCTATTTCCTTCCAAAATTTAAAATTATCCCGTAATTCCCCAATGCAAATGGTCAGAAATCCGCTACAAAATCACCCCATCAAAAATCCCCCAAAGTCCCTCCCCAGCTCCTCTAAAATTTCCCAAAATTCAAAGGAAATTCATGCTGGGCAAAGCACCACAGGATGGATGGGGCTGTGGGCACAGAGTGGGTCAGAACGAAACCACCCCCAAAATGATAAAAAATTCACCCATTTTCCATCTGTTTCCCTCCAACATTTAAAATTATCCCATAATTCACCAATGTAAATGGTCAGAAATCTGCTCCATGTTCCCTCCAAACTTATCCTGTCAAAACTCCCTCAAAATCCCTCCCCAGCTCCTCTAAAATTTCCCCAAATTCACACTGGGCAAAGCCCTGCAGGATGGATGGGCACAGAGCAGGTCACAATGAAATCAGCACCAAAATTACATTAATTCACCCATTTTCCATCTATTTCCTTCCAAAATTTAAAATTACCCCATAATTCCCCAATGCAAATGGTCAGAAATCCGCTACAAAATCACCCCATCAAAAATCCCCCAAAGTCCCTCCCCAGCTCCTTTAAAATTTCCCAAAATTCCAAGGAAATTCATGCTGGGCAAAGCCCTGCAGGATGGATGGGGCTGTGGGCACAGAGTGGGTCAGAATGAAAACACCCACAAAATGATACAAAATTCACCCATTTTCCCTCTATTTCCCTCCAAAATTTAAAATTACCCCATAATTCCCCCCTGCAAATGGTCAGAATTTCCCTTCAGGTCCCCTACAAACTCCCCCAAAATCCCTTCTCAACTCCTCTGAAATTTCCCAAAATTCAAGGGAAATTCAAGCCCCATGAATTCCCCAAATAATTCCCCACGAATGCAACAATCCCCCAAACTTTCAAAAAAACCCCAGAAATTCCCCCAAGCCCCCAAAAAGTAAAAAATTCTTCAGAATTTCCCTGAAATTTTCAAAAACTCCCAGAAATTCCCTCAAGCCTCCAAAAAGTAAAAAATTCCTCCAAATCGCCCTGAAATTTTTTTAAAAAATCTCAGTTGTCTCTCAAATTCTAAAGCCTCACCAAAAATAAAACAAAACTCAACAATTTTTTTTTTTAAACTCCCTAAATCTCCCTAAATTTTTAATTAAATTAAAAATGAATTTCAAATGAATTAAAAATTCCCAAACTCTAAATTACAATTCCGTAAAATTCCCCTGAAAACCCCAAAGTTCCCCCCAAAATCGCTACACAAGATCCCCTCACGGTGACCAATGGATTCCACACCATTCCCCCCACATCCCTTAACGCTGTCCAAAAAAATCCCCCCTACCCAAATTCTTTAAACCCGTTAAAAAACCCCAGAATTCGCAAAAATAAACGAAAAAACCCTCCCGAGCCCCGCCCACAGCCCGGCCCCGGCTCACGGGCGGCGCTCCCGGTGCTGCCGCCGCTGTCGCAGCTGTCGCCGCTGTCGCTCGTGGCGATCTCGTCGTCCGAGGCGGCGCCGCTGGACGCGGCCGATCCCGATCCCGGTCCCGCATCCTCCGGTTTGCGCTTGATCCCGGCGCTCGGGAGCGCGGCCATCGGGGCTCGGTTCTCATGGAGAGCCCGGCGGGGAGCGGACGGGACCGGAGCGGCCTGCGGAGAGCAGCGGGACAGGCGCGGGTCAGGGCCCGGGCCGCTGTCCCGGATCATCGTCCCCCGATGCCGCCAGGAGCTGCGGGTCCAGCCCTGGGTGTTCGTGTTTCATGAGTCACGCAGGCTCGGGATGGGCAGGACGTGCTCGGGATTCTCCGAGGGTTGTGCGCTCCCCATCCCGGAGAATTCCCGGGCCCGCGGGAGCTCCCTCCCCGTGCCAGCCCATCCATGAGGGAATCTCCACACAAACACTGACCCCAGCCCATCCACCCGGGATCTCCACACAAACACTGACCCCAGCCCATCCATGAGGGAATCTCCACACAAACACTGACCCCAGCCCATCCATGAGGGAATCTCCACACAAACACTGACCCCAGCCCATCCACCCGGGATCTCCACACAAACACTGACCCCAGCCCATCCATGAGGGAATCTCCACACAAACACTGACCCCAGCCCATCCACCCGGGATCTCCACACAAACACTGACCCCAGCCCATCCATGAGGGAATCTCCACACAAACACTGACCCCAGCCCATCCATGAGGGAATCTCCACACAAACACTGACCCCAGCCCATCCACCCGGGATCTCCACACAAACACTGACCCCAGCCCATCCATGAGGGAATCTCCACACAAACACTGACCCCAGCCCATCCACCCGGGATCTCCACACAAACACTGACCCCAGCCCATCCATGAGGGAATATCCACACAAACACTGACCCCAGCTTCCCCTATCCCAGCTCATCCACCTGGGAATCTCCACACAAACACTGACCCCAGCCCATCCATGAGGGAATATCCACACAAACATTGACCCCCGCCCATCCATGAGGGAATCTCCACACAAACACTGACCCCAGCTTCCTCCATCCCAGCTTCTCCACTTGGGATTGATTTGGGATGAAATTCACCCAAAACCAAAGGAAAGGTGATTTTTTGGTTGGGTTTTTTTTTTTGGAAAGGCACTGCCAGATCCCCTAAAATCCCCTAGAGATCTCCACACAAACATTCACCCCAGCTTCAGGAATCCCTATGTGCGTTCCCATTTGGGATTGATTTGGGATGGAATTCACTCCAAACCAAAGGAAAAGTGATTTTTTTTGTTGGGTATTTTTTGGAAAGACACTGCCAGATTCACCCCTGGAACATCCCGATCACCCCCTAAAATCCCCTAAAGATCTCAACACAAACATTCACCCCAGCTTCCTCTATCCCAGCCCATCCACTCGGGATTGATTTAGGATGGAATTCACCCCAAACCAAAGGAAAACCGATTTTTTGATTGGGTATTTTTTGGAAAGGCACTGCCAGATTCACCCCTGGAATATCCTGATCACCCCCTAAAATCCCCTAAAGATCTCCACACAAACATTGACCCCAGCTTCAAGAATTCCTGTGTGCGTTCCCATTCGGGATTGATTTGGGATGGAATTCACCCAAAACCAAAGGAAATGTGATTTTTTGGTTGGGTATTTTTTTGGAAAGGCACTGCCAGATCCCCTAAAATCCCCTAGAGATCTCCACACAAACATTCACCCCAGCTTCCCCTATCCCAGCTTCTCCACTCAGGATTGATTTGGGATGGAATTCACCCAAAACCAAAAGAAATGTGATTTTTTGGTTGGGTATTTTCGTGGAAAGGCACTGCCAGATTCACCCCTTGAACATCCTGATCACCCCCTAAAATCCCCACACAAACATTAACCCCAGCTTCAGGAATCCCTATGTGTGTTCCCATTTGGGATTGATTTGGGATGGAATTCACCCAAAATCAAAGGAAAACCAATTTTTAGGTTGGGTATTTTTTTGGAAAGGCACTGCCAGATTCACCCCTGGAACATCCCGATCACCCCCTAAAATTCTCTAAAAATCTCCACATAAACATTCACCCCAGCTTTTCCACCCGGGATTGATTTGGGATGGAATTCACTCAAAACCAAAGGAAATGTGATTTTGGTTTTTTTTTGGTTGGATTTTTTTCTTTTTAGGAGACACTGCCAGATTCACCCCTGGAATATCCCGATCACTCCGTAAAATTCCCTAAAGATCTCCACACAAATTCACCCCAGCTTCAGGAATCCCTATGTGCGTTCCCATTCGGGATTGATTTGGGATGGAATTCACCCAAAATCAAAGGAAATGTGATTTTTTGGTTGGGTGTTTTTTTGGAAAGGCACTGCCAGATTCACTCAAAACCAAAGGAAAAGTTTTGGTTTTCACCCAAAAAAACGGAATTACAGGATTGATTTGGGATGGATTTCATCCCATCCCAAAGGAAAAGTGATTTTTTTTTGTTGGGTTTTTCTTGGGAAAGGCACTGCCATATTCACCCCTGGAACATCCTGATCACTCCCTAAAATTCCCTAAAGATCTCCACACAAATTCACCCCAGCTTCAGGAATCCCTATGTGCGTTCCCATTCGGGATTGATTTGGGATGGAATTCACCCAAAATCAAAGGAAAACCGATTTTTTGGTTGGGTGTTTTTTTGGAAAGGCACTGCCAGATTCACTCAAAACCAAAGGAAAAGTTTTGGTTTTCACCCAAAAAAACGGAATTACAGGATTGATTTGGGATGGATTTCATCCCATCCCAAAGGAAAAGTGATTTTTTGTTGGTTTTTTTTTTTGGAAAGGCACTGCCAGATTCACCCCTGGAACATCCTGATCACTCCCTAAAATTCCCTTAAAATACAGAAAAACCACTGGATGCTGCAAAAACTCCCAACCCATCACAGATGTCAGATTGGGAATGAGCCTCCCTGGGATTTTCCTGCCCTACCTTAATCCCAAAAAGCACCAAAAAAAATCCCAAATAACCCATGGCCATATTTGGGATTTGGGGAAATTTCCAGCTCTACCTTAATCCCAAAAAGCACCAAAAAAATCCCAAATAATCCATGGCCATATTTGGGGAAGTTTCCAGCTCCAGGTTGGGCAAGGGAATTTTTGGATGTGATTCCCACTGGATAAATAAATTTAGGATAAATTTAAGGATAAATTTGGATAAGGATAAATTATCCTAATTTAAATAAATTAGGATAATTAAGGATAAATTTGGGAGCCCCCCAGGATGCTCTGGAGCCCTTTGGGAGTTGGGTTTTGGGTGGGATTGGTCAGATCTGGATCCAGCCCCGTCCCCTCCAGAAGGGAATGCTGGGGTCCCAAAAGGAAAACCAGAAATTCCCAACCCATGCACCAGCTCAGGGTGAAATTCTGGGGTTTTTTTGGGAGGAAAAGTGGGGAATCCTGGTGGTAGAGGGGGGGGAAAGAGGAAGGAACTGATCAATCCCAATGCCAGGAGGAGCAAAGGTGGAAAACATCACCCCCCCACCTAAAATTGCTGAAAATCCTCAAATTATTCCCTAAAATTGCATTTCCATAGAAAATCAGGGCTGGAGTCTGGGTGGGATCCCACCACCTGTGCCAGGATCCTTCCCTGATGGATCTGACAGGATGGGATTCGTATTCCTCACATAAAAACCCAAATTATTCCAAATTATCCTTTTTATGATGTAAAGGAACCTTGGAAGAGTCAGAATAAAGGAAAAAAAACCCAACAAAATAAGTGAAAAATATTAAGGTTCCATTTTTTTCCTATTTTTAAATTGGAAGGAATTTGAAATGAGGAAGAAAAAAATGGGTTCAAATCCTGAGGAATTTCAATGATTAAACCTCAGCAAAAGGAGTTAAATTAAAAACAATTTTTTCCCCATTATCTGGAATCAGGGGATTCTCAAGAATTCCTGCTTACACTCCCAAAATTTATATAAAATTTATAAAACTTTCAGCACCCATTATTCTGTTCAACATAAAAAGATTCCCATAAAAATCCATATAAGATTCCCATAAAAATCCAGAGCCAAAAATGGATTTTCTGGATGGATTTGAGGGATCAGACACATCAAAAGCAGGGATCCAGGATATTCCAGGGTGAAACTGGGAATGATTCACGAGCAGCACTAGTGGAACCCACCCAGAAAGGCTCAGGGAACACCAATGAATCCAATCCAGGTGTTATTGCAGCCAAAAATGGGGATTTTGGGACGATCACCAGGAAGATTTGGGCAGCCTGGATCCTGAAGGAATGGGTGAAGTTTTCCAATGTTTTCCCCAAGGATTTGGCTCAGCAGCTGAAAGGGCCTTGGATTTCCCAGGGATCTGAGCCCATCCCAGGTCACTGCTGACATTCCCAGCTCTGGGTTTTAGGATGAATGTGGGAAATTTGGGTTTCTCAGGGAAATCTGGGATACAGCTCCCACAGAGCTTCCAGCATTTCTGCAACCAGCATCCCAAGGAGGATCCATTTGGGATGAGGAAGGAAAAATGGGTTCAAATTCTGAGGGAGAAGCCACAGGAATGGGGAATTTCAATGATTAAACCTCACCAAAAGGAGTTAAATTAAAAATATAAATTTTTTTCCTCATGGTCTGGAATTACTTTAGGAGCAGGGAAGGGATCAGGAGAGTTTGGGATTCCTGAAACACAGGAGCTGATCTGGGAAACCTCGTGGCTGAAAGAGCCTGGGAAGGAGGGACAGAAAGGTGACCCCAGGTGTTGGGGGACAGAAAGGTGTCCCCAAAAAACCCTCCTTGTGTCCATCACTGGACCTGGGAGATCAAGGGGGGTCCATGAACACCTGGATCCAGAGGGACAGGAGGGGAAGGGGACCCCCAAAGATGCTCCACCAGCACCTGGGGAGGATGGAAAAGGTGATCCCACAAAACTCCCTGCAATCAAGGGATGAAGGTGGAAAAGACCCCAGAAGAGGGGGATGCAGAGAGGAGCCCTGGACAGGTGAGGGTGGGGCAGCAGGGGCCCTTCCCAGGGTGTCTCACCTGCTCCAGGGTCACCTGGGACCCCCAAAATCACCTTGGGAGGGGAGGTGAGGCCTGGGGAGGGCTCAGCCCAACAGCAGAGCAGCCCCTCCCCCACCTCTGGGGACATCTGACCCCCCCCAGGTGTCACCTCCCCATCATCATCATCATCATCATCATCACCAGCAGCATCTCGAGGAGCCCCCAGTGCCCCCCATGAGGTCCCCAAGGCCACCCACAGGTGCCAAGGCCACTCTGAGCACCTCCAGTGCCCCCCCACGGTACAGCAGAGGGGAGACCCCACCTGCCAGGACCCCCCAAATGTAATGGGGGGCCCTACACAGCCCCTACAGGCCCCCAGTGCAGGGGGAGCTGTAAGGACCCCCCCCATACTCTCTATAGGAGCCCATACAGGCACCCCCAGATGTTTCCAGCAGGGGCAGCCCCATATTTCATCCAGCCCCCCCATTTCCCATGGACCCATGGTTACAAGGACCCCCCCTCACCCTCTGCACCCCCCATACCCTCTACAGCCTCCCTTCTCCTACAGGCTCTTGTGTAAGGCCCACCCCATATCCCCTAAAGCCCTCCCACATCCCCTACAAGCCCCCCCAGCCCTTGGAACCCCCAGTCCTTCACAGCCCCCCCAGCCCTTGGAACACCCAATCCCTCACAGCCCCCCCAGCTCTTGGAACCCCCCAAATCCCTCACAGCCCCCTCAGTCCCTCACAGCCCACCCAATCCTTCACAGCCCTCCCCAGCCCTTGGAACCCCCAATCCCTCACAGCCCTCCCCATTCCTTGGAACCCCAAATCCCTCACAGCCCCCCCAGCCCTTGGAACCCCCCAATCCCTCACAGCACCCCCATCCCTCACAGCCCCCCCATTCCTTGGAACCCCAAATCCCTCACAGCCATCCCCCCCCATCCCCTGGAATCCCCAATCCCTCACCGCCCCCCCATCCCTCAAAGACACCCCCCCCATCCCTTGGAACCCCCCTTCCCTCACAGACCTCCTCATCCCTTGGAACCTCAAATCCCTCACAGCCTCCCATCCCCTACAGCCCCCCCATTCCCTTGGAACCCCAAATTCCTCGCAGCCCCCCAGCCCCTACAGCCCCTCCATCCCTCACAGACCCCCCCCTCCATTCCTTGGAACCCCAAATCCCTCACAGTCCCCCATCCCTTGGAACCTCCAATCCTTCATAGCTCCCCATACCTCACATCCCCCCCCATCCCTTTCAGTCCCCCCCATCCCCTGGAACCCCCCTTCCCTCACTGCCCCCCCCCCCATCCCTCACAGCCCTCCCCGCCCCCCGCAGGCGGGGCCGCCCCTCCAGCCCCCGGGGCCTGCCGCTGCCGCCTTTCCCCGCACTCACCGGTGCCCGGGGGGGTTTTGGGGCCGCCTGGGGGCGGGGGGCGCTGGCGGGGGGGGCCCCGGGGCCGCTCCCGGGGGGGTCCGGGGCCGCTCCCGCCCCGCCGCGCGCGCCGACAACAATGGGGCCGCGACCGCTGCGCCGCCGCTTTTATAGCGCCCCGCGTCACGTGAGCCCCGCGCCGCCACTGCGCCGCCGCGAGGCACCATGGGAAACCGAGTCCCCTGGGGACTCCCCGCAGGGCCGTGCTGGCGCGGGGTGTGATGGGAAATGGAGTCCGGAAGTGCGGAAGATGGAGGGCTGAGGGAGGTCGTGGGCTCAAGAACGGTTTGGGGTGAAAAGGACCTCAAAGATCGTCCCGTGCCACCCCTGCCGTGGCAGGGACACCTTTCTCTGACCCAGGGTGCTCCAAACCCTGCCCAGCCTGGCCTCGGGCACTGCCAGGGACGGGGCAGCCGCAGCTTCCAGGGAAATCCATCCCAGGGCCTGCCCACCCTCGCAGCCAGGAATCCCTGCCCAATGTCAAAAACCAAATCACTTGGGTTTAAAATTTTAAACGTTTAATGGTAATAAAATGGTTATAAAAATAGTATTAAAATTAGGGTAATAAAACTTTGGACAACTTGGATTCATGCAATATGAGACAATAGAAACAAAGAGTTATGGACGGTCTGGGTATCTCTTTCTGGGCAAAATAAGCCCAAAAAAGGACCCACGTTAACAGAGGATTAACCCTTAAAAGCAACAGCCTGCTGCATATTCATACACCTCATGCATGATGCATAAATTCCATTCAAACTCAGGATTCTGTCTGGGCAGTGTCAGCTTCTTCCTCTGAATCCTAACAGTATCATCCTCTCTGAGTGAGGCAGGAAGAAGTTCATTTCTTCTGATAATGGAGCAATAAATTCTCTTTCTCTGAAGGATTCAGGTGTCCTGTGGCTGCTATCTCGGTGGGAGTACCTCATTCCTCTCTTTAAAAAAATATCCCACATACATAGTTTCTATTTTAACATTATGTTATAACCTAAAACTATATTTAACACACTACTTAAGAGAATTAGTACGGCATCACTTTCTAACATAACACATATAACATTCATTTTAATATTTGTGAAAAGCCAAGCATAAAATACACATTTTTCACAGAACCTTTCCCAACAGGAAAATTTTGCCAATTTTAGTTTAGGGTAAACTTTGGAGAGAATTTTTAAAGGAGTTTTCTTAGGAAAGTAGATTTAATTGGCTTTTCTTTTTTTTTTAACTGGTTTGGGAGAAAATATTTTCTTGGAGAAAAGTGGAAAACATTTATTAAACAATAAAACCCCTATAATATAATAAACAATAATCCAAATACAAATATTAAAAAAAACCTAACAAATTAACTACATCACACTACCCCAAATAGACCAAAACAAACACCAATATATTAATTATTGTAATAAACGCTATAATAATATTTATAAATATATTTTAAAATATATTATATGGATATCAATAATATTTATAATTATATTATATCAATATAATTAATATTTATAATTATATATTTATAAATAATTATAATTATAAACCCTATAGTAAAAACCACCACAAAATAATTTAAAACCTATCCTATACCTCATACTGCAACCCGTAACACCATCCTAAACCTTAAAAAACAAATCCTATAAAAACATAATACCCCTAAAAAATTAAATCAAACAACAAAACTCATTTCAAAACCAACCTTATCAACACCTAAACTAAAAACCACAACTTTAAATAAATATACCGTCTCCCCTACCATACACCAATTACAAACAAAATTTAAAAATACAACAAACTATTAAAAACCCAGTTAAAAACATGACGTAAAAAAATCTTTCCAAAATTTAAAACAACATTTAACACACAGCTGCCGCTGCTCCCATGCTGGCCCCGGGACCCCCCCGTTCTCCCGGTTCTCCCGGTTCTCCCGGTTCCCGGTACCGGGCAGGACCTTCCAGCCGTGCCCCATGTGGGTCATGTTTATTTTCCTCCTTCCAGGAGCCAAAACAAACCAAACCCTGCCCAGAGATTTTCGGGAAAGCCCCGCAGGAATTCCCGCAGCCGCTCAGGAATTCCCTGCCCAGGTGCCACCCGCAGGTGCCACCCTGGGGACCCTCGGGGCCGCTCTGGGTGCCCCGGGACGTGGCTCGGCTCAGGCAGCCCCGTGCCCGCCTCACCTGTGCCCAGGTGTTGCTGACTCCGCGGTTCCGTTATCGCACCCCCGTTATTTATCACGGCCCGGGACGGTCCGGCCCGCACGTCCCGGGGCTGTCCGAGCAGAGTCCGGCCCGGATCAGCGGAGCCGCCGGCCCGGCCCGTGAGCGGCATCAAAGCGGCTCCGTGGCTTCATCAAAGCGTCTTAATGAGCACTTAATTAATGATCGGGAGCCTTTGAGGCGCCTCGCAGCTTCCTCGGGAACTCTGCTCGGGGCAGGGAGGGGACAGCGCTTAAATAGGGAGGGGACAGCGCTGGGGACAGAACCCGGGACAGAGCCGGGACAGAGCCAGGACAGAGCCGGGACAGAGCCAGGACAGGGCCAGGACAGTGCCGGGACAGTACCGGGACAGAGCCGGGACAGTTCCGGGAGAGCTCTGGGGACAGAGCCGGGACAAAGCCAGGAGAGTGCCAGGACAGAGCCGGGACAGTGCCGGGACAGAGCCGGGACAGTGCCAGGACAGTGCCGGGACAGTGCCGGGACAGAGCCGGGACAGAGCCAGGAGAGTGCCGGGACAGAGCCGGGACAGAGCCAGGACAGAGCCGGGACAGAGCCGGGACAGTGCCAGGACAGTACCGGGACAGAGCCGGGAGAGTGCCGGGACAGAGCCAGGACAGTACCGGGACAGAGCCGGGACAGTACCGGGACAGAGCCAGGACAGTACCGGGACAGAGCCGGGACAAAGCCAGGACAGTGCCGGGACAGTATCGGGACAGTACCGGGACAGTACCGGGACAGAGCCGGGACAGCGCCGGGACAGAGCCAGGACAGTGCCGGGACAGAGCCGGGACAGAGCCAGGACAGTGCCGGGACAGAGCCGGGACAGAGCCGGGACAGAGCCGGGACAGTGCCGGGACAGTACCGGGACAGAGCCGAGACAGTACCGGGACAGTACCGGGACAGAGCCGGGACAGAGCCAGGACAGAGCCGCGACAGTGCCGGGACAGAGCCGGGACAGTGCCCAGGATCCGGAGGCGGCAGCGGGAGCGATGCCCGGCAAACCCAGCCCTGCCTGCGAGCTGAGTGAGTACCGAGCCCAGGGCTGGCATCCCGGGGCAGCCGGGAACTGGGGATTTTGGGGCACTTTGGGGCAGATTCCCTGCCCAAACCAACCGGGATTTGGGGATTTTGGGGCACTTTGGGGCACTTTGGGGCACTTTGGGGCACTTTGGAGCAGTTTCCAAGCCCAAACCAACCGGAATTTGGGCAGTTTGGGGACAGTTTGGGCAGTTTGGAGCAGATTCCCAGCCCAAACCCACCGGGATTTGGGGATTTTAGGGCAGTTTGGGGCATTTTGGAGCAGTTTGGGGCAGTTTGGGGCAATTTCCCAGCCCGGAGCAGCTGGGATTTTGGGGCAGTTTGCCAGCCCAAACCCGCCAGGATTTGGGGATTTTGGGCAGTTTGGGGCAGAATCCCAGCCCGGAGCAGCCGAGATTGAGGCAGTTTGGGGCAATTTCCCAGCCCAAACCCGCCAGGATTTTGGGCATTTTGGGGCACTTTGGAGCAGCTGGGGCAGTTTGGGCATTTTCCCAGCCCAAACCAGCTGGGATTTGGGCATTTTGGGCAGATTCCCAGCCCAGAGCAGCCGGGATTTGGGGATTTTGGGCACGTTGGGGCAGTTTGGGGCATTTTCCCAGCCCAAACCACCTGGAATTTGGGGATTTTGGGCAGATTCCCAGCCCAGAGCAGCCGGGATTTGGGCACTTTGGGGCAGTTTGGGGCATTTTCTCAGCCCAAACAACCTGGAATTTGGGGATTTTGTGTCGTTTCCCAGCTCCTGTGGGGTCAGTCCCTCCTGGTTCCAGGTGGGGAGCGAGGCCTCCAGTTGGGTTATTCCTATTTTCAGGAATATTTTTTGGGTTCTTCCTGACTGTCAGGTCAGGGCTGGGGCTGGTGGAGTTTCCCACCTCCTAGATTTCTCATTTTTCCAAGATTTGGACATTTAGCAGCACCATTAATAATGCCAGGCTGCTCCTGCCCATTGCTGGTCCTGCACAGACACCCCAAAATCGCACCCTGGGCATCCCAAAATCGCACCCTGGGCATCCCAAAATCGCACCCTGGGCATCCCTGGAGCTCTGGCAGCCTCGGGGCTGTGCCCGTTCCCTGGGCAGCCTGGGCAGTGCCCAGCACCCTCTGGGGGCAGAACCTTTCCCTGTACCCATCCTAAACCTCTCCTGGGTATGGGGAGGGTCTGGGGACCCTCCTGGGGCCTCACTGGGGCTCAAACCCCCCTTTAGGGGCTCAGGGGCTGCACGGGGGTCCATGAACCCTGCACTGGGGGACTGGGACCCCAAACTGGGACCTGGGGGCCCCAAACTGGGACCTGGGGGCCCCAAACTGGGACTGGAGTTCTGTCTGCCATCCTGAGACCCCAAAGTGGGACCTGGGGGCCCCAAACTGGGACCTGAGACCCCAAAGTGGGACTGGAAGCCCCAAACTGGGACTGTGGCTCTGGCTGCTATCCTGGGACCCCGAAGTGGGACCTGGGACCCCAAACTGGGACCTGGGACCCCAAACTGGGACCTGGGAGTCCCAAACTGGGACTGGGGCTCTGTCTGCCATCCTGAGACCCCAAACTGGGACCTGGGGGCCCCAAACTGGGACTGGAAGCCCTGGCTGCCATCCTAGGGCCCCAAACTGGGACCTGAGACCCCAAAGTGGGACCTGGAGCCCCAAACTGGGACTGGGGCTCTGGCTGCTATCCTGGGACCCCAAATTGGGATCTCAGACCCCAAACTGGGACCTGGGGGCCCCAAAGTGGGACCTGGAACCCTGTTTGTCATCCTGGTGCCCCAAACTGGGACCTGGGGACCCCAAACTGGGACCTGGGGGC